CAATATTTAGATTTTTTTGCTCCCTCAGATTCCAGATTTTCAGCCAAATATTGTCCTATCCTAACAAACCATACATCAATGGAAGATGTAAATAAATCTCAATTAAAAAAAATTTGACCCTTATGACTGGTTTTGTGTGCTCCAGGGTCACATATATATATATATATATAAATTATTATTATAATTTTTTTTTTCATGTGTGAAAAACATTTTTCTGAAGATAATGTTCTTCTATATAAGGTAATATTTCATTTAAAAACATTTAGGGGAATTTCCGTGCTTAATCTCTGATAAAATACTGTTGTTTTGTCAGTGTTTATGTGCTTTATAGTGAATATAATATACAGTATATGTACATGCAAATTGTCCTGTCTTAAAACTGTAATTGTACATGTATTATACGTATTTTTACGATGTGTTTTTGTTCTTCTTAACAATGCCAGTTTAATAATAAACTAATTTTGATTGTGTACAATGTTTGCATTTAACAAAGCAGTAAAGATATCCACTCTGAGCTGATAACACTCAAACTTATTACAACATAACTATAATACTTTATGAGTATGCATAAGTTAGAATGTCATTCATAATTCCTACATTATTAATACTTAGTCAAAAGAATCTGAATGTACTCAAATGTTTCTAAAACTTAGTAAACACACACAAATAAACATATGAACATGAGTCATTATAGTTAACTATAACTAAAACCATAAAATTCAATCTTATTTTATTTCAGCTAAATGCCAAAGCAACTCTCATTTTCATTTAGTTTTACTTTAATTAAATGAACTAAAACTATAACAGAATAGAACTACAGAAATATATATATATGTGTGTGTGTGTATATATACAGTATATATATATATATATATATATATATATAAAAGTTTTTGTTCACATAATATATGTGTGTGTAGTGTGTATATTTATTATGTCTATATAAATACACACACATAATGGAAAGATTATTTATTCAGCTTTCAGATGATATGTAAATCTCAGTTTTAAAAAAATGACCCTTATGACTGGTTTTGTGCTCCAGGGTCACATATATAAGAGAATATATGTAAGAGACTGAGAGCAGATTATTGGTAGTACATAAGGTGAAACTGACCTGTTGATATTTGTGTGTTGATTCGGTGCAGATTCAACGACGATATCAAGTTCATGATCGGTCACAAGCCCAACTTCTTCTGGCAGGCCACGTGGAGACTCGTCAGTCCGCTCATAGTGCTGCTGATCTTCCTCTTCTACTTCGTCACCACCATCAGCAAAGAGCTGACCTACATCGCCTGGGACCCGCTGTCGGTACGCATGGCTGCCTCTGTAGGAAAACTACAAGAAATGGCCAATAGATTTGCAGGATCGAAAATATTCCTGTTATGACAGATGTTGATTGAACACCCAGAAAACGTCCAATAATTTCAGCTGTTTTAAGAAAGAAAAAAATACATTATTGTTAGATGTTGTTTGTTTCTAAAAAATACACCAAATCGTTTGAAAACTTAATTTTCTCTGATCAATAAACATGCATAACTTAACATAAATAAATAAAGCATAATACATACAAATTAAATACAAATTAAAAACTAAGAATAATAAATAAAAGTGTACTGTATAAAGTGAGTAATGCGTAAACATAAATTATAATTGAGTATTACATACATATGAATTATAAATCATATAAATTATTAAGTAATACATAAGAATAATAAAATAAATGCATGAGTAATGCATAAATAAATTATAAATGAGTAATACCGAAATATGACGGAACTTTGTAAGATCGCGATAAACGAAGACGAGTGACGTTTTTTAGTGATAAAGGGAGCGCACTTCGCGCACTTTCTAGGGTATAATCCATTCAGAATTTGTATTAAACTTTCATTTTTCGGACACATAGACTACACCCTGCAAAGTTTCGGGAATGACATCCGCATATTTATGCGGGATTCACTCTCGTAAAGATAGTTTGCGGTTTGATATTCAGATTTCCTTTGACTATAAATACGCAGTGCGCTGTCATAGAAATGCAAATAATACCGAATATCATTCTCCATGATTTGTGAATTCAGGTGACGCTGTCCTGCGGGCCGAAATCAGGGTTTTTTTTCATAGCGACTCTTGATTTTATAATGCCTATAGCTCCAAAAGTTGGACACTTTGAGGAATGAAACCGGTGTCATCTCCACCAGCTAGATCTGTGAATTTTTTCACAGCAAAGCTCTTGTCCGTAAACTATGGAAGCCCGTTTCCGCCACTGAATAAAAAATAAAAAAAGGTAATTGCGAATTTTTATCTCACACTTCTGACTTTTTTCTCAGATATAAACTTTTAATTCTGAAGTCCAATTTTGAGGGGGTTAAAAAAAAATAAAGTCAGAATTGCGAGAAAAAAAGTCTTTATATCACGCAATTCTGACTTTATTTCTCAGAATTGCGAGATTATATCTCTCAATTATGACTTTTAACTTGCAATTGTGAGTTTATATCACGCAATTCTGAGAAAAAAAGTCAGAATTGTGAGATAAAAAGTCGCAATTACCTCTTTTATTTTTTATTCAGTGGCGGAAACGGGCTTCCATAGTAAACCCCTTGGTAAGTCCGCTAGAAAGAAAGGCGTTCTTCATGTTTAAGGTCTATTACCAATAAACACGCAGACTGCTGGAATACAAAAACATTGTTTTAGGTCGAGCTCGATTTGTGACAACTTTCACAATTGCTTTTTATTGCGTGGCAGTGTTTATCTTTGCTCTGCCCCCCGTTTTTTGTATAGTATTGTCATACGGTGCTGTTCCAGTGAATAAAGTTTTCCAGTTCATTAGGTAAATGAGTTTATACACATATACACTTGTACACTTTGTTTGACAATAAAGTTTTGGTTGTACCTTTCCTTGAGCACTTGGCTTCAATATTCTGATTTGCGAAAATTTCACAGTGCGGTGTTGGTCAGTTAAACCCTTCCCTGATTCATTTACATCGCTATTTTGATTTGTGAAAACGTTCACAGTGCAGTTATGGTCAAATAACGGTTTCCAGATTCCAGTAAGGTAAGGTATGCTTTATTGTCCCACAGGGAAATTCACCTTGGGCTCCAAATACAGCCACTGCATCACCACACTTAAAACAATACATTAGGCTGCACAAACACATAAACAAACATCTCAGTAAAACCTCAATACCATTTCACTTACTACTATTTAGTGGCCTAATTGCAGAAGGAATGAACGAATTCCTAAACCTATGAAGTCTGCATCTCTGCATTCTAAATGCAGAATATCGTTTAAGATCTTATATGCCTCTCTTAGCAATGATTTTTCATACAGATAAGAATGTTCCTTTATGCCCATGATCTTCATGGCTATTTGAATAAGCTAAGCTTAGTCTTTAACTGCACTGTCACATTACCAAAGATGTATTCCATATCTGATCACATTCTCCAGTACAGCTTGATCTTACTGCTAACACCATAAAGTCTCGGCCTTCTCAAGAATCTCTGTTGTAACTTGGAACACAGAATTTCGACATGGACATTTAACACTGAGGACACCTGCATAATGGGAACATTATGAATAGCAACTGAACTCTGATCTCCAATTAACTTTGGATCAAAGATCATCTCCTTAGTTTTCCTCACATTGACAACAAGATGATGGGCAACACACCACAAACTGTTCAATTTCAGAGTGATAAGATGATATGTCTTGGTCTTTATAACAAGCTAAGAATAGCTGTGTCATCACTAAATTTTACAACATAATTGTTGGCATAGCCGCGGGAACATATTTTATATGGGGGGTGCTGGGGGCGGGGCTTAATGTTGCAGGGCGGGGCCACGGTGAGAGATTTTTGACAAAATCCAAACTCTTATAGATTAACATACAAGTGAAGACAGAGTTTTATGCGAACCAATATATATTTGTGCTTTTGTGATTTTAGTTCAAGAATTTTTTCCCAGATAGCACACGTCTGTTAAAGATCACTTGATCTGGAAAGCATCTAACATCTGACAGACATCTGTAAGATGTCAGTTTCACATACATTCTAAACCATAAACATCTTAAAGACATCTAATAGACGTCTATTTGACATCTGATAGGAGACGTCCTATAGACATATTGCAGATGAGCAAACACTCTAAAAAATACATCTTGCAGATGTAAATGCAGACATCAAATAGACGTCTCCATAATGTACGTGTGCTATCAGGGTTCTTTAATATTTTTATTATTTAAGGGGATTTTACTAAATATTAACATTGCTGATATGCAAAAGTTTTGGTCAGTGCACTTTGGCGAATTCTGTCATCAGAAACAACAAAGTGATGTACAAAGCGATGTACAAATAAGAGATTAATTCATCATACACTGCAGACACCATCACTGATTATAGCTTATAGCTTTTTTTTAGAGTGCTTACACTCACTGAATTTAATAATGTAAATGTTCTTTGCTCGCTGTATAATTTGTTCATTGTTTGAATAATCGTGGACATGCGGCGTTATAATTAAACTTAAAATGTATTTTTATTAAACGTGATTGACGGTGGCCATCTTGAGAAGCAAGAAAGCTTCGGAAAATGGCTCATAAAAAGGACAAGGACGTCAATGGTTTTTACAAGTCGGAATGTAAAATTACGCGTGAACATTTCAAGTTCAAGTTCAAGTTCACATTTATTTTTAAAGCACATTTTAAAACAAGTGTTGTACCCAAAGTGCTGTACAATTTATAAACAAATAATATCAAAAGCAACAACAAATAAAAAACTCATAAGATACATATATATTGAATTGATGTAATAAGTGCATGGATCACTACTTCTAGGTCCTTCTTTGAGAGAAACTGTTTTAATTTGGCGATGGATCGGAGATGAAAGAAGCTTCCTTTGACGACAGAATTTATCTGCTTATCAAATAATAAATCAGAATCAAAGACAACGCCTAGGTTCTTGACTCTGCTGTGTAGTGTTAAAGACAGGGAACCTAATTGGTTTCCAATATTAGCGACACACAATGAAGATCCAAAAGCAACGGCCTCAGTTTTGTCTTCATTTAACATTAGGAAGTTTTCTGACAACCATCTTTTAACTTCCTCCAGGTAGGAGATAAGATTTATGGTAGAGTTTCCATTGCTAGACTTGACAGGAAGATAAAATTGTGTATCGTCAGCATAACGGTGATAAGAGACATCATATTTCTGAAAGATAGAGCCAAGAGGAAACATGTATAAAGAAAAAAGCAGTGGACTCAGAATGGAGCCTTGTGGGACACCACATGTGATCAATGTTGAGGATGAATTATGCTTACCCATATTAACTGAGAATATACGACCTTTAAGATATGAGGAGAACCAGCTTAATGCAACCCCCTGAAAGCCGACCACTCTCTCTAGACGATTTAATAAAATGGCGTGATCTATTGTGTCAAATGCTGCACTGAGATCTAAAAGAACTAAGATGACCCTGTCTCCGGAATCCAAGCAGCACAGGATATCATTTGTTACTTTTATCAAAGCAGTCTCGGTACTATGAAAAGCCCTAAATCCTGATTGAAATTTATCAAGCATGTTACAATCAGTCAGATAAGAAGAAAGCTGTAAATAAATGACCTTTTCCAGAATTTTTTATAGAAATGGCAACTTTGAAATGGGCCTGTGATTATTTAGGATATCAGGATCCAAATTAGGTTTTTTCAGGAGAGGCTGCACCACAGCATGTTTAAAACTTGTGGGAACCACTCCACTGGTCTGTTAATAATGGCCAATATGACGGGGGCAACCGAATTAAAAATATCTTTAAGAAAACGTGACGGAATGATATCCATAGAAGAATTTGTAGGTTTCAATGAAGAAACTAAAAGAACTAAAAGGCAACAGGGATTCAGAACGAACCACGACTGGTGGTGATATTTGTGCTCTAATTAATTTTTTGTGGAAAAAAATTCAAGGAACTTATCGCAAATCTCAGGTGTTGAAGCAGAGTAGCCGACTGTGGTAGGGTTCAGGACAGAATCGACTGTTCTAAAACCTTACCTGGGCATTCTATGGGCATTCTTAGCAATTATTTCAGGGAAATAATTCGATTTAGCATTGTTAACAGCAATTTGCAAATGTTTTAAGGATTCACAGAACATTTCATATGAGACTCTAAGTTTATCTTTCTTCCTCTTACGCTCTGCTTTCCTGCATTGCCGCCTAATAGAGCGGGTATGATCATTTAGCCAGGGCTGGATATTTATATTTTTTCTAGATCCCAGTGATTTGAGCGGAGCTACCTGGTCCAGAATATCAGCACAAGTTGTATTAAATACTTCCGTCGGCTGTGATGAACCCATAGTACTAGTTAACACATCTGTATTTTGAGAGCGATATGTGGAAGCGTAAATCTCGAGGACTAGAAGAGGTAATAACACGAGTAAAATGCAGACTCTCTGGGGGAGGAGAGATAAGATGTGGCTGCAGAGATTCAAATAAAACAAAACTATGATCAGAACATCCAGATTGTAACACCTCAAGATTGCTCATGTGTAAACCAGACGTTAACACCAGATCAAGCGTATGACCTTTTATACACTGAACAAAATTATAAACGCAACACTTTTGTTTTTGCCCCCATTTGTCATGAGCTGAACTCAAAGATCTAAGACTTTTTCTATGTACACAAAAGGCCTATTTCTCTCAAATATTGTTCACAAATCTGTCTAAATCTGTGTTAGTGAGCACTTCTCCTTTGCCAAGACAATCCATCCACCTCACAGGTGTGGCATACCAAGATGCTGATTAGACAGCATGATCATTGCACAGGTGTGCCTTAGGCTGGCAACCGTTTATAATTTTGTTCAGTGTACGAGTAGGACCTGTAACTAGCCGTGTCAAATTAAAGGAATCCACCATACACTAAACTTCCTTGACTAAAGGTTGTGTTTCACAGCAAATATGAATATTGAAATCTCCCAGGATTAACAATCTGTCACAATGAGGTACCAATGTTGACAAAAACTCTGAAGTCCTTATTATATTTAGGTGGTGAGTGCACAAAGTATCGGACAAGCTTGATCGATCTTCATTAGCTGCACTTCAAAGGTTGTAAAGGCGTCAACATGCAAAAATCTGCAATGATAATGGTTCCTAAACACAGTAGCTAAACCACCACCACGGCCAACAGACCTTGGAGTATTATGAAAGGTACAGTCCGCTGGAGTTAGTTCTCCTAGAGGCATGACATCCCCAGCATTTCTGCCAGGTCTCTGTCAAAAATAAAAAGTCTGGCATTGAGTAGTGCAAACTTAACAGGAGAGTAGGCGAAAGTTTTTGTTCCAGCGAGCGAATAATACCGCCCCTCGCAGCCCCTGGCTTATTTCCTATTAACCTTAACCTGTTGCGTTCTATTTGTTAAAAAAGGAGAAATACCACTTTATAATGAAAGGATTTACCTGCATCTGCTTTAGTTTATCCAACAATAAATAAGGCTGTAATGAATTAAAAGCTGAACTAAAATCAGTACAAAGAAGGCGTGCATATGCCTTTTTCAAAACATTTCATAACAATTGAAGTTATCGCTACAGGTCTATAATCATTGTTCTCGGATGAGTGTGACCAGTGTTGGGTAAGTTACTCTAAAAAAGTAATTAATTACTAGTTACTAATTACATCTTCAACAGTGTAATTAGATTACTCTCTCCAAAAAGTATTTAATTACTTATTACTAATTACTTTCTAAATCCTATATCAAAGTTAATGAATGATACGAGGATAGACATGAAACTATTATTTTAATTCTTTCAAATAAATAACAGATAACTACATCAATTATTCAGGTACACTTTAGATTAGAGTCAAATTCTCACTTATGACTTTTGCCTCAATATACTGTTATTACTGTTAACAATTACTGTTTATTAATGCTTAATAAAGTAGTTTAAGAACTGGGTAGGATTAAGGATTTAGAATAAGGTCTTGCAGAGTAAGACATTAATATGTGCTTCTTAAGTAATAATAAACAGCCAATATCCCAGTAATATTCATGCATGTTAATAGTGAGAACTGGACACTAAAGTGTTACCAATATTCAGCTCACCAAAGTATTTAAAGTGAGAAGGGGACATAAAAAGCATGCATTTTAAGGTTAGACTTTAAAGTTTGATGTTAAACCCACTATTGCATTGTATATCAATGTTCTACAGTCTATGCACAGTTTTAAGTTCAATTACATAAGAAGTAACTGTAATTAAATTACAGAAAAATAAGAGCAATCCCTTACTTTACTTTTTCACGTATATGTGGTTTACTTGGGTCCACTTTAACTAAAAAAGAAAACTAAAAATATAAAAATTAAAATGAATTTAAAATATGATTAAAAACTATAATAGTATATAACAATACTATAATAACACTGCTAGGAATAAATTAAACCTAATTTTCAGACCATGCAGATAAAAACTTTAACTTAAATAATAAAATAAAATACTTATTTTAATTCAGGTAGTTGCCACAGTAACTTTTTAGAAAAAAAAAATATATATATATTTTTTTTTAGTTTAACGAAGTACTAAAACAACTCAAACTGAAATAAAAATGAATAAAAACTGTATATACTGACACAAACAAAAATAATAAAAATTACAAAAATACACAACAAAATTATTAAAACTTTAACTAAAATTAAAACAATACCTGAAAATAATAATAATATTATTATTATTAGTGGTATAATTAATAGTATATTAGTGGTGATAAAATAGCACTGGTGGGAATAAATCAAACTTATTTACATGATTCATTTCCAGACAAAGACATTACTGTTTCTTAAAATAAATAAATAAAATATATACAAAACCTTAAAGTGGAAATGAAGCAGTCAGTCAAGTTTACATTATTTAGTAAAGTGATTTCCACTTTGATTAAAACATATATAACAAACATGATTAATGTAGCCATTTTAAAGAAAAAAGGTTGTTTTGTTATAGCTTTTGGAGCAAGGGCGCCGCCATCTTGCAGTACCACCGCGTGTGACGTCACGGGGTTGGTTCGCTCCGATGGCCAGTGAAGTAATAGAAGCATTTCTTTACATTTTGAACACACGCTTGTTTTGAAATGGAGGAAGATTACATTGAAAGCACTGTTAAGTCCATAATAAGTGCAATTGCCTATGCATTTGAGCCGATACGGCGATGGGACCGAGCAGTATTAGGGGTTGAAGAAACCGCACCAGTAAAGTGCTTTGTGTGCATTTGCTGATGAAGGCGCGACAGAAAGCTCAATTTGGTAGCCTACTCACGTGCTGTCCGAGCCCAGCTGTGGCTTTGTGTGTGTGTGCGGCGCCGCCGGCGCGATGGCAACCACAGCTGCCGGTTTTTTACCGTAAATTTTACGGAATTTTTTTTACAGTGTACAACTGGTGAACCAGTCAATGTAATGCATATGTCTTAATGGTCTGACATAACAATAAAATGCAACATGAATGATGAAGCGTCGTCTGTTTACATCACGTTGCGCCTGGCATTATGAAAACAATGTTTGGGATACCGCGATCAAAACTTAGCATATAGACAGTTTGATGTTGAATATTCATCCAAATTATGGTGAAAACCAAATTATTTGTGTGTTAAAATAACATTCGTGTGATCAAAATGTAAAGAAATGCTTCTATTACTTCACTGGCCATCGGAGCGAACCAACCCCGTGACGTCACACGCGGTGGTACTGCAAGATGGCGGCGCCCTTGCTCTAAAAGCTATAAAACATCCTTTTTTCTTTAAAATGGTTACATTAATCATGTTTGTTATATATTTTTTAATCAAAGTGGAAATCACTTTACTAAATAACGTTAACTTAACTGACTGCTTCACTTCCACTTTAAGCTTATTTTATTTCAGCTAGTTATCAAGACAACTTTTCTCATTTCCATTTAGTTTAACGTGAAGTACTAAAATAACTAAGAAAATAAAAAACTATACAGACATGTTAAAAAATACTAATAAAAATGACAAAAACATACAGCAAAATTACTTAAACTTTAACTAAAATTAAAACAAAAACTGAACATAAAAAAACTCAAAATATTAATAAAAACTACAATAGTATATCAATGATACTAAAACAACACTAGGAATAAAAATAAACGTATTTACATGATTAATTTTCAAACCGAGCATACAAAACATTTCTGTTTTACACATATATAGAATTAATCAAATGTTATTTTAGTTTAGCTATAGTTGCCATTTGTGTTTAGATTCACTCGATGCAATGAAATAAATAAAACTGAAATGAAAAAACTTCAAAATGACAAAAACACACAAGACGAAAACTGAAAAAAAATAAAATAAATAAAAGCTAATTGAAAGCTCTCTGAATGACACTGAATAGGAATAAATGAAGCGTCTGACAGTCAGAAATAACCCAGGCGTGAGAGAACATTACACATTAACCAGCTTCAGCAGCTCCGGCTTTCATCCAGCCTTTATCTTGCTGACGAAACACTTCAGACGTCCCGGGACGGAGGGGCGAGTGCTAAAGGTCATTAATACCCAGATCCCCGTTACTATCTCCAGCACTTCCCTGAGGAGCGCAGTCCTGAACATACCTGCTAGACGACATGAAGCTGAAGCTGAAGCTCCCGAACCCGGGTCTGGACGAGCGGATCCCGTCTCACGCCGAGCTGGAGAAGCTGGAGCTGGAGGAGGCTGGAGAGCGGCCGCAGTGGGACAACAAAGCCCAGTACATGCTGACCTGCGTGGGCTTCTGCGTGGGGCTGGGGAACGTCTGGAGGTTCCCGTACCTCTGCCAGAGCCACGGAGGAGGTGAGGCTGAGAAACACACCTCTTACTCGCTCGCTATGACTGAAGAATAACACGGGGAACAGCTACAAAGAGTCAAAGAAGGGGAATTAGAGAGAGAGAGAAACTTTGATTGCATGAATGAATAAATACATTTCTAAGCTGCTTTGGATGAAAGCATCTGCCAAGTGTATAAATGTAAAATTAAAAAATAATCAATCAATCAATAAATACCTCTATTGTAAGTTGCTTTGGATAAAAGTGTCTGCTAAATGCATAAACGTAAACGAACTGGATCCTACTCGCTATGACTGAAAAATTAAAACGCCAAACAGGTACAAAGATTCAAATTTGGGGAAAAAAAGGGAAATGAGAGAGAAACTTTGAATGCATGAATGCAGCCTAGTTATGATTTATAGCTTCATTTGATTTTACAGCCTAAATTATTTTTAAGGGTAAACACATGAGCGATTCAGGGATTTGTATTTAGGTGCTTTTTATTCATCTCTTATCCCGGTCAATGCCAAAAATCTTCGGTTACACTTTATTTTAAGGTGTCCCTGTTACAGTGTAATTATACAGTTAAGTACTGAGTGATATTAATTAACTACATGCACTTACTATAGGGTTAGGGTTACTTGCATGTAATTATGCATAATTACATGCAAGTAACCCTAACCCTATAGTAAGTGCATGTAGTTAATTAATATCACTCAGTACTTAACTGTATAATTACACTGTAACAGGGACACCTTAAAATAAAGCGTTACCAAATCTTTCAATAACTGTAATAAAAAATAGGCTGACCAGCAGTTAGTTACAGGATAATCAAACTTACTTCTTAATGTCGAATTAGACCAATCTACGTTTTTATGTAATTGACTTAAAAAATGTAGTTTTGTAGAACTGACTCGTAAGACTAGTTAGTCTAAGCAGTTTATGCAACCAGTCACTAGTTTGTGTAAATGAGTGATAAGGTTAATGTATAGCGATTAAATATTCCTGTAGTCATTAAATAACCTGAGAGGATCCACCCAAGAAACGTCAAAAATCACTTATTTGGAGAAAAAAAAATTCTCTACAATTATTATAAATGTGTATAATTATATTATAATATAATGCATTAAAATAGCCAAAAATCAGTAATCCGAGCACATTTAAGTTGCGTTGGATTAAAGTGTTTGCCAAATGCATAAATTTAAATATCTGATAAAAGAGTCAAATATTAATATTTAATATATGGATAAATACTTTTGTGAGTGGCTTTGACTAAAAGCATCTAGTAAATGCATAAATAAATAAATGCATTTCTAAGCTGTTTTGGAGAAAAGCATCTGCCATGTGCATAAATGTAAAATTAAAAAATAATAAATAAATACCTCTATTGTAGTCTGTTTTGGATAAAGGTGTCTGTTAAATGCATAAATGTAACTAACTAAATATGTGACTCTGGAGCACAAAAAGTCATAAGGGTCAATTTTTCTGAAATTGAGATTTATGCATCATCTGAAAGCTGAATAAATAAGCTTGATTGGATAGGACAATATTTGGAAATCTGGAATCTGAGGGTGCAAAAAAATCTAAATATTGAGAAAATCATCTTTAAAGTTGTTCAAATGAAGTTCTTAGCAATGCATATTACTAATCAAAAATTAAGTTTTGATATATTTACGGTAGGAAATTTACTAAATATCTTCATGGAACATGATCTTTACTTAATATCCTAATGATTTTTGGCATAAAAGAGAAATGTATAATTTTGACCCATACAATGTATTTTGGGCTTCAGACTGCTTTTGTGCTGCAGGGTCACATATTCCAATGTTGTAGGTTGCTTTGAAAAAAGCACCTGCTAAATTCAAGAATGCAATCATTTTTAAAAGTATGTAAAAACTAAAAATAATATTCAAAATTAAAATTAGTAGACATTAATAAAATAATTCCCTTACCAAAACTCCATCCATCAATGGTTTCACGGCTGATGTGAGCATAATGGGCCATGTCTCCTGCTGGCTGTTTCAGGAGCGTTTATGATCCCGTTCCTGATCCTCCTGGTTCTGGAGGGAGTCCCGCTGCTGCATCTGGAGTTTGCCATCGGTCAGAGACTGAGGAAGGGCAGCGTCGGCGTCTGGAGGTCCATCAGCCCGTATCTGACCGGAGTCGGTGAGTCACGAAGAGTCATAAACGTGTGGGAAACCACCTCGACTTGAACTGAGTTCAAATCATCCTTTCCTGCACAGTCTGCTGTTTGTAAAGCCTCACGTCTGTGTGTTTGTGCAGGCATCGCCTCCATGCTGGCGTCCTTCATCGTGGGCATGTACTACAACACCATCATGGCTTGGGTCATGTGGTACTTCTTCAACTCTCTGCAGGATCCTTTACCCTGGAGTCAGTGTCCCGTCAACGCCAACAGGACAGGTATCTGCAGCTCACAGCAGCACCAGCGTTACTGATGATTGCAACTATTAAACAACATAGTAACACGTTACCTTGAAGCTTTAAGTAGAATGCATTATAAAGCTATTCATAAAACATGTTATAATGCATTATATATTCTCATAAATTGTGGTAACTAACGTTAAAATGTGTTATAATATTTGCAGATTCCTTGTTGCATCTGAAATCAGTTGTTTGTCATGTGTTTTAATGCATTATTATTTCTAAAGGTATAACAATGAATAAATAACATGTGTGATGTGATCATACAATGCATTGTAAGGTGAATTACAAGACATAATTAATGCATATATCAAGACTTTAAGTGAAGAAAAGCTGAAATAAAATATCAGATTAAAAACTTCAATGTAAACGTTAAAATTGGAAATGCTGAAATAATATAAAAGCATCAGATGAAAAACTTAAATGTTAAAATGAGATATATATATATATATATACATTAGATTAGAAACATTTTAAAATTAGACATGTTGAAATAAAATAACATTACATTAAAATTAGAAATGCTGATATAAAATAAAAATATAAATGTCATATAAACTTGTATTTCTAAAATGTTAGAAATGTTGATATAAAAATATAGAAATTAGATGAAAAGATTAAAAAGTAAAAAATTAGAAATGTTGAAATAAAATTAAACAAATATTAGATGAAAACTTAATTGTTAAAATTAGGAATGCTGATATAAAATAAAATATAAGTATTAGATGACAAACCTAAGTTAAAATTTGTATAATAAAAGAAATAGATGAAAAAATTAAATGTTAAAATTAAAAATGTTGAAATAAAATTAAATATAAATATTAGACAAAAACTGAATCATTAAAATTAGAAAAGTTGATATAAAAATGAAATATAAACATTAGATGAAAATATAAACAGATTTCAGTTTGTTGCCAAAGCAACATTTCTAATATTAATGTTTAGGTTGAAGTACTAAAATTACTAAAACTGAAATAAAAATAAAAATAGAAAACAAAAACTAATAAAAAAATTACAAAAACACATAAAATTACCAAAACTAAAATGAATACTGAAAACATAAAAATAAGAGTTAATTCAAAATATTAAATGCAATAAAGCTAAAAAAAATAAATAAAATAAAAAATAATTTACATTCTTAATTCATGTTCCTGGGGCCGGTTGCATAAACTGTTTAAACTAGTCTTAAAAAGTTAGTCAACTAATTTTTTTTCTTCAAGACTGGTCATAACGCTTTAAATTCAGTTATGAAAAGTCTTATTTGCATTGAAAAAGTAACCCCCTTGGTAACTGCTAGTTGCTCAAACTAGTTCTTAAGACACAGTCTTAAAGCAAAGCATTGAAAAGCAATGCTGCTAACGTCATTTAATCTAACATGAATGTAATTAAGGTTATTTGCATGTGTGAAGCTGAGCGTGTCTCTCCGCAGGTCTGGAGCCGGAGTGCGCTCGCAGTTCTCCGGTGGATTATTTCTGGTACAGAGAGACTCTGAACAGCTCGGCGGCGATCGAGGACTCTGGAGGTCTGCAGTGGTGGCTGGTGCTGTGTCTGTTCTGCGCCTGGACCGTCCTGTACGTCTGCTGCATCAGAGGCATCGAGACCACCGGGAAGGTAAGGCAACACACATCTCATATTCAGTAATATTATCAATAGCTTCACAGCTAACAAGCTTACAGTAGCAGTCAAAAGTTTTTGAACGGTAAGAATTTTAGTGTTTTTTTAAAGAAGTCTCTTCTGCTCACCAGGCCTGCATTTATTTGATCCAAAGAACAGCAAAAACTGTAAAATTGTGAAATATTTTTACAATTTTTTTTACTATATTTTAAAATGTAATTTATTTCTGTGATCAAAGCTGCATTTTTAGCATCATTACTCCAGTCGCATGATTCTTCAGAAATTATTCTAATATTCTGATTTTTTTTTTTTTATGTATTATGTTGAAAACAGCCGAATTTAATTTTTTCAGGTTTCTTTGACGAATAGAAAGTTCAGAAGAGCGGCATTTATCTGAAATAGAAATCTTTTGTAACATTATAAATGTCCTTATCATCACTTTTAATCAATTTAAAGCATCCTTTATAAATAAAAGTATTATTTTATATATATTTCTATTTAGCTTTAAATTTTATTTATTTATTAGTTAGTAATTTTACTACTTCAACTAGTGCTTACAGTTAATTTATTTCTAACTTTTACAGAACTTCGTAGGAATGTTCCGTTTAAAACGGAATTGTTTCACAATCGACGAACTCTGCAACAATGACATTTATTGAATTGAATCATCATTGAACTGAATTACTCTGACTCTATTGTCTTCTGTGGAGCTGCTTTACAACTGAAATGGAGTTTGTTTCATAGCTGATGAATTTTACAGCATGACACACGCAATAGAAATGAATGTGATTATCTCCTGCTCTCCTCAGGCCGTGTACATCACATCCACGTTACCGTACCTGGTTCTCACCATCTTCCTGATACGAGCGCTGACGCTGAAAGGCTCTGTGAACGGAGTCAAGTTCCTCTTCACTCCAGACGTACGTTCAGCGGTTAACCCTGTGTGTGTGTGTGTGTGTGTGTGTGTGAGTGTGAGTGTGTGTGTGTGTGTGTGTGTGTATGAACTCACTGAGCTCTGACGCGTGCGTCTGCTTCTCTGTTGAAGGTGAATGAGCTGATGAACCCGACCACGTGGCTGGACGCTGGAGCTCAGGTGCTCTTCTCCTTCTCTCTGGCCTTCGGCGGCCTCATCTCCTTCTCCAGCTACAACTCGGTCCAGTAAGTCTTCTGAAACACACGCTGATGACTACATGAGAAGCTGCCTACTGAGAGAGCTTCACTTGATTTTGTTGCTGCTCTTGTCATTTTTATTAGTTTTTAAAAAAAATATTTATTCAGGTTTATTATTTTTTACTTTGTAATTTTAGTTTAAGCTGAGAGAGCTTCACTTAATTTTGTTGCGTGCTTTTGTCATTTTTTATTCGTTTTTTTCTTTTAAATATCTATTCAGGTATCTGGTATATCTATTCTGTTCATTATTTTTTTTTTTGTAATTTTAGTTCAAGTTTTAGTAATTTTGTTACTTGCTTTTCCCGTCCTTATTATTATTATTTACATTTTTATATTTATATTTCAGTTTTAGTCATTTTAATGCTTCAACTTATATATACAGGCATATTATATACATATTTAATGGGGGGGAGTTACTTCATAAGGCAACATTTCTAATTTTAGTCAAAATTTTAATAACCCCGTTATGTATTTTGGTTATTTTTATTTATATGTAGTATTGATAATTTAATTGATATTTATTTCAGTTTTAGTCATTTTAGCACACCAACTTGAACGTATTTTATTTCGGTTAGTTTTTAGATATTTACTTTTAATTTAGATTTGTTTTAGTTTATTAGGCTACATAAATTTAGTAGTTCAACTTTATTTCAGTTAGCTGCCTATGCAACATCTTTAATTCTCGTTTAATTTTTCATTTCAATTAACGAAACAACGCGCTGCTCAAGAGAACATCTACTTTACAGCTATGTTTCCATCCATTTTAATTCGAATTTTGGGATATCGTGAACATATGATATGGAAGCAGTGCTTTACTCGCAAATGTTTCATGCATTATTCTCATTTTGTTCTAATTAATTGTTTAATTATTAATATTTAATCAAGTTATATAGTCGGAAACAAGGCGAATGCCTTAAAACGTTACCTATAGGCAGCTCACTATGACAAGAGCTCATATACAGCAGCTTATATTGTACATATTTCGAGTAAAATGATTATTTCTCCATCAGTAATAACTGTGAGCAGGATGCCGTCACCATCTCCATCATCAACGGCCTGACCTCCGTCTACTCCGCCACCGTCATTTACTCCATCATCGGCTTCAGAGCCACGGAGAAGTACGACTCGTGTCTGGAGAGGTACGTCCTTACATTCACGACACTGCTCAAACGCTTCGAGTCTGTAAGATTATTCTCTTTTAAGAAATTAATACTTTCATTAACGGTTTGACGCGATGTGATTATAACGGTCAGCGCGTCACGTGACCAACAGCGAAATTCAAATCTGCTTTCGCGCTCAGCGCTTAGAAGACATCACAACTTTTCGGTGTTTTTAACCACATTGTGTTTATTTTAGGTTTCAGACATTTAAATACACATTGTGTAGGTAACTATAAAGTACTCTATTCTTCACTGGCCACTTACTTCTATGTCTTTTGGGAGATCTCAAAAGCAGCTCTGCGAACTAATATGGCGGCGCCGATCGCCGGTTATACACCAACTAACATAATCATTATAAAGGTGTTTAAACGATCTAATACATTCACTTGACCATATCTGAGAGTTGGAATACCAGATATTTCATAATATAATTAACACGTTTGTTTATATTTTGAATAAAAAAAGGTCTGGGCGATATGCCTATATAAAGTAATTATCACGATAATTTTTTTTTTTTCATGTCAAGTCGATATCGTTAATCACATTTTTATTTCGTTCAAATTTAAAGGCATAGTTTTGCTCCTAAGTGAAAGTTGTAGACATGCGACTGTTAATTGTGGTTTTAAACTATGGTCAGAACAGGACAAACACGTTTTTGAATTCTTTACCCTTTTCCAGTCATTTTTCATAGACAAAATAAAACATCTTAATAGAAAATTGTATTTCTTAGTTTCCTCGTGTTCTTATGAGTGCTATTGTTTCTGTCAGAAATGTTTCTCGAGCAGCAAATCAGCATATTAGAAATATTTCTGAAGATCATGTGACACTGAAGACTGGAGTAATGATGCTGAAAATACAGCTTTGATCACAGGAATCAATTAGTTTATAAGATATTCACACAGAAAAACAGCTACTTTAAATTGCAATATTTCGATCAAATAAATGCAGCCTTCTTTCAGAAGCTCTTACTGACTCCAAATGTTTGAATGGTAGTGTGACCTCATTGTATTATACTTTCTGACAGTAACATCCTGACGCTGATTAACGCGTTTGATCTGCCGGAGGGAAACATCACGGAGAGCAACTACGACAGTTTTCTTCAGCATCTCAACAGCACAGCACCAGCCATCTTTCAGGAGCTCCAGCTGAAGACCTGCGACATGCAGACGTTTCTCAGCGAGGTACGACAGAAATCACTAATCAGTTGCCTAACCCTAACCCTAAGTCAACCATCTCCCATCCTTCACTAAGTCACTCTGAGCTTCCAGAATCTGAGTTAAGATCTCCAGATGAACAGCTGCACTGATGTTTGGTTTCAGGGAGTTGAGGGAACCGGTCTGGCCTTCATCGTCTTCACCGAGGCCATCACTAAGATGCCCATCTCTCCTCTGTGGTCAGTGCTGTTCTTCATCATGCTCTTCTGTCTGGGATTGTCCACTATGTTCGGGAACATTGAGGGAGTCGTGGCGCCGCTGCAGGACCTGAACCTGCTCCCCAAAAAATGGCCTAAAGAACTCTTCACTGGTAAACACATCAACCACAAACCACTTCCAATCACAGCGGATGAATATCAGCTGTTGGGGGTAGTAACGCATTACAAGTAACGCAAGTTACGTAATCAGATTACTTTTTTCAAGTAACTAGTAAAGTAAAGGCCCGTTCACAACAAGGATGATAACTATAAAGATAACGATAAAGATATAGTTCTAAAAATTGTGGCGAGTCCACACACCACAGCTATAACGATAAAGGCACAGAGAAACGATATCGTTGGAATCACTTTCAAAACGATGTTTCTCCATCTGATGAACGATACAAAATTAACAGCCAATCAGAATCCATCCTGCTGTAACGAGCTGGAGAATTTAAAGCGGCAGACGAGCGTGCGCTTAGAATAAACAGACGATATCGTCCGCTGGTGTGGACGCTAATATCGTTATCTTTATAGTTATCGTTCTTGGTGTGAACGGGGCTTAACGCATTACTTTTTAATTTAGAAGGAAATATCTGAGTTACTTGTTCGAATAAGTAACTTTTTCCAGTTTGCTTCCCATGTATTGGCTGATGGCTCTCGTGTTGCCATGTTGAGATAAATCGTGTAATTACACGTAAATACACATGTATTTACTCATAAACAGATTCAGCGTTCCTCAAAATCAATAAATACAGTCAAATGCAAACTCAGAATATTATACAAACCTGCAATAATTAAATATGTTAAATAAGACAAATATCATTTATGTATTTAATCCCATTTTATTAACTAATGTCGTTGCTACTGACCTTCGATGATCCAACTCAGCCATACTAAGCAAAAATGACATTTGTGTTATTGCTGAATAGTGTTGAACTTTCTTCTCCTGCGTCATATTCTTCATGTGATTAGTTTGAGCAGCGCCCTCTACTGTACAGACGTGAATTTACATTTCCTTCAGCTTGAGCCGTATTCATTTCACTTTTGGTGTGAAAGGGCTTTTACATTTGTAAAAGAAGAATATATATAAACAAGCAAGCCCTGCCCAAATGTAAAAAGTAACTCTAAAGTAACAACGCATTACTTTCCATAAAAAGTAACTAATTAGTTACTTTTGTAGGGAGTAACGCAATATTGTAATGCATTACTTTTAAAAGTAACTTTCCCCAACACTGATCAGCTGACCTGCTGATGTTTTTCAGGTCTGACTTGTGTTGTGTCCTTCGTGGCGGCGCTCGTATTCGTCCAGTCCTCTGGTAACTACTGGCTGGCTCTGTTCGATGGCTTCGCCGGCTCTATTCCTCTGCTGGTCATCGCCCTCTGCGAGATAATCGCTGTGGTTTACGTCTATGGGATTGACAGGTAAAAACCAACTTGAAATCGAAGCTGTTTCAAGGGTTAGTTCACCCAAAAATGAAAATTCTGTCATTAATTACTCACTCTCATGTTGTCCCAAACCCGTAAGAATTGTTGAATAAAGTCGTTATTTTTGTTTTCTTTGCGCACAAAAAAGTATTCTCATAGCTTCGTAAAATTACGGTTGAACCCCGGATTTTTTAACGATGTCCTTGCTATGTTTCTGGACCTTGATCGTGGTAGTAACCTTGCTGTCTATGGAGGGTCAGAAAGCTCTCGGATTTTATCAGAAATATCTAAATTTTATTAGGTTGGCTTGACAACATACTGAAATCCTATTTAAATTGCTGCTTCTTCTTCTGAGACTAAATTTAGTCAGTATCTCCTCCAAGAGTTTTCAAGCTACAACCACTGAACCTAGGTCAGACATTCAGACTGGTTGCTATATCTTTTATGACTTTCGGTTTTCGTAAACCAATCAAAACTATGAAAAGTCCTATAGACTTTCATTGAGGGGGTCAAAACTTTTGTACAATAAGTCTTATAGAGTGTTTAGGCTGTCTGTCTCTAGCAAAGCTGAATGACTATCCTAAGACAACATGCTAATTCATGCTAACAAAATGCTAAAATGTTAATGTACTAAATCATGCTAGCAATATGCTAACAATGTGTTAGCAACATCATAATGCTAGCAACATTTTAACAGCATGCTAAAAATGCTAGCAACATGCTAAATCATGCTTAAAACATGTTAAAATGCTAGAAATGTGCTCAAACGTGCTAGCAACATGCTAAAACCAGCTACCAGCGTTAACTAGCAACACATTAAAACATGCTATCAATTTGCTAAATCAAGCTAGCAGCATGCTAAAACATACTAGAAACGTGTTAAATTATGCTAACAACATTGTCAAATGTTAAAAATATGCTCACAATGTGCAAACTCATGTTAGCAATGTGCTAAATCATGTTAACATGCTAAAACGTGCTAGCAACATACCAAAACATGTTAGGAAAGCACAAAATCATACTAGCAACATGTTAAAACACGCTAAAAATGTGCTAAATTATGCTAGCAACATGGTAACAACGTGTTAAATTATGTTAACAAAATGTTAAATCATGCTATCAGTGGTGTTAAAATGTTAGAAACATGTTAAATCATGAAATAACTTGCTTAAACACTTTAGCTAAAACGTGTAATAATCATGTTATTTCAAACGTTTAAACAAGGCTTTGTCAAGCCAACATCAAAGTTTGTTTACTAACTTTACTCCTCTAGTTGATCTTGTTCTGCACATTATTCACAGTTCCAGTTCTGGTTCATGCAGTAATTTAATGCAATAAACAGTAACAGCTTGTGTTTTGATAGACGCAAAAGATAAATAATGGAAACTCCTGATGTTTTCAAGTGCTGAGAAGAAAGGTAAAGCTGTTCTCTCTCTATCCTCCAGGTTTAACGAGGACCTTCAGTTCATGGTGGGACACAAGCCCAACATCTTCTGGCAGGTCTCGTGGCGGTTCCTCAGTCCCATCATCCTCCTGGTCATTCTGATCTTCTACTTTGTCACTACAGTAAGCAAACAGCTGACCTACAGCGTCTGGGACCCTGAATCGGTACGTATGGGACTATATCTTGCATTAGAAAATTCAAATGCATGTTTTTTTACATTATTACTTTAAGCTTATTTCTAAAATATTTAATACCCAATATAAAAATGAAAATATAAAAACGGAAAGATGTGAAGTCGACGTGAAATCTAAATTTACTTTAATACATGACTAAAAGTGCAGTCACATTTACACAAGGAAGCTTGTTATAAAAATACATAAATAAATAAAAATAGGTAATTGCGACTTTTTATCTTACAGTTCTACATTTTCTCTCGCAAATGGGAAAAAAAGTCAGACTTGCGAGATAAAACCTCAGAATTGTGAGAGGGAAAAAAGTATGAATTGCGAGACTTAAAAAAAATTTGCGATTATTTTTATTGCATGGCAGGGAGAGAGAAAAAACAGACAAAACTTCCCCCGAGAAACTTTGTGTTCAATATTAGAATGTTTGTGGTTGCGACAAAAAAGAGTTGTGAGATTTTAAATTAAAAAAAAAATTTAAAAAATCGCAATTACATTTTATTTTGTGGAGCCAAAATTTAGGCCATGCGAAATTTTAAAAGCAGGTTTTTGTTCCATTCGTATGGATTAATATTGAAATTTCGCAGTAATGGTAAGCGCACCTTTACTATGAAAGTGTTATCAGCGCTTGACAAAACAAATCGAAAACTGTACTTCACAACTTTTTTTTTTTTTTTATTTTCATCACCCAATCAATTTCCAGTAGACTAAACTAATATCCTTGTTGAATATCCAGTTTCTATGGAAGTTTGTTTCCGCCAAGGAAATACAAAAGTTAACCGCGACTTTTTCACCTCAAAATTCAGACTTTTTCATGCAATTCTGAATTTATGTCTCACAATTTAGACTCGAAAAAAAGGAAGAAAAAAATCTGAATTGCGATTATTTTTTATTCTGTGGTGGAAAAAAAACCAACTCAGAATTCTGAGAAAAAAAGTCAGAATTCTCAGTTTATATCTTGCACTGTAAAAAATGACCGTGAATTTAACGGTAAAAGACTGTAAAAATGCTACAGTAAAAACCTGTTAAATGGCCTGTAAATGCAAGTTAAAACCGTAAAACCTAAAATGTTGCTACTGTATTTCTTATGATAAAATTCCGGCAACCACAGCTGCCGTTTTTTTACCGTAAATTTTATGGATTTTTTTTACAGTGTGCAATTCTGACTTTTTTTTTAATCTGGCGATCTTCAATTTTAAAACATAATATGTAAAATTAAAATAATGTAAAAATCAAATACGCACTAAAAACATATTAACCTATAAAATGTAAAATTAAAATAAATCTTTTTTTAAATGAAAGCAAATCAAAATAAAACCCTAAAAATCTATTACGTCGTAAAACGAAAACAATTAAATAGTTTTAAAACAAAAACAAATCAAAACACTACAGATGTATTAAAACGTGAATAAAACTGTTAAAATAATTTACAGAATTGCACGTAAAAATCAGAATTATGAGAAATAACAAGAATTAGGGGAAAAAATGTCACAATTAAATTTTTTTTTTCTTCCATATGTTTCACACTGAAATACGATCACATTGCGGAAGCAAAGTTAGTTGTTTCGCACAGCTAGAGAGACGTCTTTGTAAAGCATGTGAAGACTAAGCTCATCTTCTGTCTGAACAGGATAATTTCCCCACTCTTAAAGAGGTGAACTATCCTAGCTGGATCAGCGGCATCATCTTCATCCTAGCCGGCATTCCCAGTCTCTGCATCCCAGGAGTCGCCCTCATCCGAGCTCTGTGGAAATGCTGCTCGAAGGACAAGGAGAAGAAAGAAGAGCGCAGCATTTCTGGAAAAGAAACACGTGTGAATACAATAGCGTAGATCGTAGACCGTATGGAACGATGAGGCCACGCCCAATATAATAACATTTGAAATTACGTCCGGTTTTGAACTCTTTTGCATTTGTATTATATACTCACAATCCTTTTTGCAATGTATATATTTATGTATAATAAACAATGATTGTTTTTCAATGTCTCTATCCACCTTATTGTGAAACGCGAAGCTAATTTCTGTTTCTAATTTCATTAGCCGCTATAACTGCAACAATAACAAAGTGCGGGAAAACGTATTGCACTGTGTTATGATAATAAATTAACATTAAATGACAATGAATACCAGTTTCAGATCAAATGACAAGGAATACCGATATCAAACAGCATAACGGACATTTTTTGTTCCGTTAGAATAACCGGAGCAACTGAAACCGGAAGCCGCGCATATTCCACTTAGTTCAAATTCTCGCGCTCGTTATTAAAAACAGTAGCACAATTCTATTTTTAAAGAGTGTGTGTTATCGACATCATTTCCCACAGGACACGCTGTAGTAATTTACCAGCACTCACAGAACAGTTTGTCCTTAAGACTTCACAGCGCTTATCTTTCAGTGTTAAATTAATAATTATCAGAAGCTGATACATTGTGTTCTCTTTGTTCTAACAGAGGCTTTTTGTTTTACCGGTGAACTCGGGACAGTCCGATAATCTAGTTACTGTAATATCTTATCTAACAAACACACTAAACAACACAATCAGCGCATGCTAAAGATACTGAGTTCCGAAGAAGCCCGGCGGCGGGAATAATTAGTTTCCCATAACCTCCCATGCTTATTTGTACACAATTCTTCAACAAAATAATATTTCACATATTTACTGTCATACAACAACACTATAGGAACAATAAGACTTGGAATAGTCATTTGAAACACAATTTATTCTACGAATCCTGCTTAATTCTTTGCTTAAAACTATTTTATGACAGGGATTCCCAAACTTTTAACAACGTTAGTTAGGGTTTTATTTTGATTGTTTTTATTTTTAAATTATTTATTTTAACTTTACATTGTTATGATTTCATACATTTTAGTGAGTTTTATTTGGTAGATTTTATTTTTAAAATATTTATATTAATTTTACATTTTATGGTTTAATACATTTTTCGTAAGTGTTCTGTTTTGATTTGTTTTAATTGCAACTGTATTCAATTAATTTGACTTTTTATGATTTAATACATTTTTCGCACGTTTTCTGATTTTATTTGTTTTTATTGCCACTGTATAAAATTTATTTGACTTTTTATGATTTAATACATTTTTCGCACGTTTTCTGATTTTATTTGTTTTTATTGCCACTGTATAAAATTTATTTGACTTTTTATGATTTAATACATTTTTCGCACGTTTTCTGATTTTATTTGTTTTTATTGCCACTGTATAAAATTTATTTGACTTTTTATGATTTAATACATTTTTCGCACGTTTTCTGATTTTATTTGTTTTTATTGCCACTGTATAAAATTTATTTGACTTTTTATGATTTAATACATTTTTCGCACGTTTTCTGATTTTATTTGTTTTTATTGCCACTGTATAAAATTTATTTGACTTTTTATGATTTAATACATTTTTCGCACGTTTTCTGATTTTATTTGTTTTTATTGCCACTGTATAAAATTTATTTGACTTTTTATGATTTAATACATTTTTCGCACGTTTTCTGATTTTATTTGTTTTTATTGCCACTGTATAAAATTTATTTGACTTTTTATGATTTAATACATTTTTCGCACGTTTTCTGATTTTATTTGTTTTTATTGCCACTGTATAAAATTTATTTGACTTTTTATGATTTAATACATTTTTCGCACGTTTTCTGATTTTATTTGTTTTTATTGCCACTGTATAAAATTTATTTGACTTTTTATGATTTAATACATTTTTCGCACGTTTTCTGATTTTATTTGTTTTTATTGCCACTGTATAAAATTTATTTGACTTTTTATGATTTAATACATTTTTCGCACGTTTTCTGATTTTATTTGTTTTTATTGCCACTGTATAAAATTTATTTGACTTTTTATGATTTAATACATTTTTCGCACGTTTTCTGATTTTATTTGTTTTTATTGCCACTGTATAAAATTTATTTGACTTTTTATGATTTAATACATTTTTCGCACGTTTTCTGATTTTATTTGTTTTTATTGCCACTGTATAAAATTTATTTGACTTTTTATGATTTAATACATTTTTCGCACGTTTTCTGATTTTATTTGTTTTTATTGCCACTGTATAAAATTTATTTGACTTTTTATGATTTAATACATTTTTCGCACGTTTTCTGATTTTATTTGTTTTTATTGCCACTGTATAAAATTTATTTGACTTTTTATGATTTAATACATTTTTCGCACGTTTTCTGATTTTATTTGTTTTTATTGCCACTGTATAAAATTTATTTGACTTTTTATGATTTAATACATTTTTCGCACGTTTTCTGATTTTATTTGTTTTTATTGCCACTGTATAAAATTTATTTGACTTTTTATGATTTAATACATTTTTCGCACGTTTTCTGATTTTATTTGTTTTTATTGCCACTGTATAAAATTTATTTGACTTTTTATGATTTAATACATTTTTCGCACGTTTTCTGATTTTATTTGTTTTTATTGCCACTGTATAAAATTTATTTGACTTTTTATGATTTAATACATTTTTCGCACGTTTTCTGATTTTATTTGTTTTTATTGCCACTGTATAAAATTTATTTGACTTTTTATGATTTAATACATTTTTCGCACGTTTTCTGATTTTATTTGTTTTTATTGCCACTGTATAAAATTTATTTGACTTTTTATGATTTAATACATTTTTCGCACGTTTTCTGATTTTATTTGTTTTTATTGCCACTGTATAAAATTTATTTGACTTTTTATGATTTAATACATTTTTCGCACGTTTTCTGATTTTATTTGTTTTTATTGCCACTGTATAAAATTTATTTGACTTTTTATGATTTAATACATTTTTCGCACGTTTTCTGATTTTATTTGTTTTTATTGCCACTGTATAAAATTTATTTGACTTTTTATGATTTAATACATTTTTCGCACGTTTTCTGATTTTATTTGTTTTTATTGCCACTGTATAAAATTTATTTGACTTTTTATGATTTAATACATTTTTCGCACGTTTTCTGATTTTATTTGTTTTTATTGCCACTGTATAAAATTTATTTGACTTTTTATGATTTAATACATTTTTCGCACGTTTTCTGATTTTATTTGTTTTTATTGCCACTGTATAAAATTTATTTGACTTTTTATGATTTAATACATTTTTCGCACGTTTTCTGATTTTATTTGTTTTTATTGCCACTGTATAAAATTTATTTGACTTTTTATGATTTAATACATTTTTCGCACGTTTTCTGATTTTATTTGTTTTTATTGCCACTGTATAAAATTTATTTGACTTTTTATGATTTAATACATTTTTCGCACGTTTTCTGATTTTATTTGTTTTTATTGCCACTGTATAAAATTTATTTGACTTTTTATGATTTAATACATTTTTCGCACGTTTTCTGATTTTATTTGTTTTTATTGCCACTGTATAAAATTTATTTGACTTTTTATGATTTAATACATTTTTCGCACGTTTTCTGATTTTATTTGTTTTTATTGCCACTGTATAAAATTTATTTGACTTTTTATGATTTAATACATTTTTCGCACGTTTTCTGATTTTATTTGTTTTTATTGCCACTGTATAAAATTTATTTGACTTTTTATGATTTAATACATTTTTCGCACGTTTTCTGATTTTATTTGTTTTTATTGCCACTGTATAAAATTTATTTGACTTTTTATGATTTAATACATTTTTCGCACGTTTTCTGATTTTATTTGTTTTTATTGCCACTGTATAAAATTTATTTGACTTTTTATGATTTAATACATTTTTCGCACGTTTTCTGATTTTATTTGTTTTTATTGCCACTGTATAAAATTTATTTGACTTTTTATGATTTAATACATTTTTCGCACGTTTTCTGATTTTATTTGTTTTTATTGCCACTGTATAAAATTTATTTGACTTTTTATGATTTAATACATTTTTCGCACGTTTTCTGATTTTATTTGTTTTTATTGCCACTGTATAAAATTTATTTGACTTTTTATGATTTAATACATTTTTCGCACGTTTTCTGATTTTATTTGTTTTTATTGCCACTGTATAAAATTTATTTGACTTTTTATGATTTAATACATTTTTCGCACGTTTTCTGATTTTATTTGTTTTTATTGCCACTGTATAAAATTTATTTGACTTTTTATGATTTAATACATTTTTCGCACGTTTTCTGATTTTATTTGTTTTTATTGCCACTGTATAAAATTTATTTGACTTTTTATGATTTAATACATTTTTCGCACGTTTTCTGATTTTATTTGTTTTTATTGCCACTGTATAAAATTTATTTGACTTTTTATGATTTAATACATTTTTCGCACGTTTTCTGATTTTATTTGTTTTTATTGCCACTGTATAAAATTTATTTGACTTTTTATGATTTAATACATTTTTCGCACGTTTTCTGATTTTATTTGTTTTTATTGCCACTGTATAAAATTTATTTGACTTTTTATGATTTAATACATTTTTCGCACGTTTTCTGATTTTATTTGTTTTTATTGCCACTGTATAAAATTTATTTGACTTTTTATGATTTAATACATTTTTCGCACGTTTTCTGATTTTATTTGTTTTTATTGCCACTGTATAAAATTTATTTGACTTTTTATGATTTAATACATTTTTCGCACGTTTTCTGATTTTATTTGTTTTTATTGCCACTGTATAAAATTTATTTGACTTTTTATGATTTAATACATTTTTCGCACGTTTTCTGATTTTATTTGTTTTTATTGCCACTGTATAAAATTTATTTGACTTTTTATGATTTAATACATTTTTCGCACGTTTTCTGATTTTATTTGTTTTTATTGCCACTGTATAAAATTTATTTGACTTTTTATGATTTAATACATTTTTCGCACGTTTTCTGATTTTATTTGTTTTTATTGCCACTGTATAAAATTTATTTGACTTTTTATGATTTAATACATTTTTCGCACGTTTTCTGATTTTATTTGTTTTTATTGCCACTGTATAAAATTTATTTGACTTTTTATGATTTAATACATTTTTCGCACGTTTTCTGATTTTATTTGTTTTTATTGCCACTGTATAAAATTTATTTGACTTTTTATGATTTAATACATTTTTCGCACGTTTTCTGATTTTATTTGTTTTTATTGCCACTGTATTCAATTAATTTGACTTTTTAATGATTTAATATATTTTTCGTACGTTTTCTGATTTGATTTGTTTTCATTGCAACTGTATTCAATTAATTTGACTTTTTATGATTTAATACATTTTTCGTACGTTTTCTGATTTGATTTGTTTTTATTGCCACTGTATTAAATTCATTTTACATTTTGATTCAAAACATTTGTAGTGTTTTATTTTTATTTCAAAATTATTTTAATGTTACGTTTTATGATTTAATACATTTTTAGAAAACGTCCTGTTTTGATTTATTTTAAATGTATTAAATTATTTAAATTTTACATTTTATGATTCAATAAATTTGTATTGTTTTATTTTGATTTGTTTTAATTAAACATTTTTTTTATTTTATGATTTAATACATTTTTGTGTTTTATTTTGATTGATTTTTATTTTAAAATATTTTATTTCAATTTTACATGTAATACATTTTTAGTATGTGATTTATTTATGTTCAAATTATTAATTAATCAACACTTACAAACCAATATGAATGAGGCTAGTATAAAATCCAGGACATGTTTATGATAGCTTTACGGGAGTTATTGTTTATTTGCAGAATAAAAATGTATCTTTACACATTACTGTATCTTTGATGTCTTAAATGTGAAAACTGCATCTGCTCACAATCAGCAGCAGGTGGCGCTATTAGATCAGCACCGAGTGAAAACCATTACATTCATCCAGTTAGCAGACATGAGACATACATCCTCAAACTCCTGCAATTATTTTGCCAACATAAAATATATTTAAAAAGTAAATTGAAGCAGAAATAAACATGTTTGTAATAAAAAAAAAAAACATTCCAAATCAATCTAAAAAATTATAATATAATATAATATAATAATTTGTACTCAAGGATTTTTAAAACTGTTATTTTTATATTATCTGTATTCATTGTAGTTTTTAGTTTTGGTAATTTTATGTGCTTTTGTCATTTTTATTAGTTTTATATTTCTATTTAGTTTTATTTCAGTTTTAGTACGCAAGTAATTTTAACGATAAGCTCTAATTTGTTAACATTAGTTAATGCATTAACTTAACAACAAGCAATATATTTATTTACAGCACTTTTCGTTTTACATTAGTTATTAAAAACACAAATAACATCAATATTAATAAACGCTGTATTGTTCATTGTTAGGTCTACTAATACAGTTACCCTGTTAACAAATGAGCCATTTCTGTAAAGTGTTGTAAAAATACTTTATTTGATTGCTGTTGAAAGTGATAACATTTCCTTCATGAAAGTTCCTGAAGTCATTAAATAATAAATCAACTTCTTCCCGGAGTTATCAAATAATTAATTATATTAGGCAATAATCAAATCGATCACAATAAATGCTCTCATGTCATTTCAATACTATTTACAGCTGTTCTTTGTTATAAAAAGGATAACAAAACACTAACCCAGTTATTAAATGCCTAAGTGTTTTACATTTGCATTTATGCATTTAGCATATGCAGAAATTTATTAATTTTATCCAAAGGAACAAAAGCAATTTGTCAAACAGTCAACTATATTCATAAAATTCAACGCCAGGTTTATCACACAACTACATTAGCAAGAAGAAACACAAAAGTCCGAGATCAGTATTTCAATATCCGAATTTGTGGGTTGATCCTTTAATATATATATATATATACAATAAAAATGTATATACAATAAAAATAAAATAAATAAATAAAAATAAACTATAGTACATAAACAAAAATCTAATTTTAATATATACTGTATATATATATATATATATACACGCACACTTTAGTTATGTATGATTTATTATTATATTTATTATTATATATTTTTTATCGATTTTTATTTTTTAAAAGCACCAACAATATTTGTAAAATACAATGCTGCATTTATTAATCAACAATATTAGGGGGACAAATTCAGATATCACCAGTGTTTGGGGTTACTTTTTCAAGTAAGTAGTAAAGTAACATTACTTTTAAATTTACTACTAAATATCGGAGTTACATTTGCAAATGAGTAATGCAAGTTACTTTGTTTTCCCATTTACTGACTGACAGCTCTCCTGTCCGCATGTTGAGAGAAATCGAGAGTAAGTGCAGAGATAGAGGCACTTCCTTCAGCCTGAGGATTATTCATTTCACTTTTGGTGTGAAAGGGCCTTTACAGTTGCAAAAAATATAACTTTTGGCTTTTTTGTTATTAAAAAAACAAACAAGCAAGCTCAGCCCAGGTGACAAAGAGTAACGCAAAAGTAACTTAATGTATTACTTTCCATAAAAAGTAACAATGTAAAACAATACGTTACTTTTTTATTGAGTAACACAATATTGTAATGCATTACTTTCCTTAAAAATTAACAATGTAACACAATAAGTTACTTTTTTATTGAGTAACGCAATACTGTAATGAATTAATTTCCATAAAAAGTAATAATGTAACACAATAAGTTACTTTTTTATTGAGTAACGCGATACTGTAATGCATTACTTACTATAAAAAGTAACAATGTAACACAATGAGTTACTTTTTATTGAGTAACTCAATATTGTAAATCAATTACTTTTCATAAAAAGTAACAATGTAACACAATAAGTTAATTTTTTATTGAGTAACGCAATACTGTAATGAATTACTTTCCATAAAAAGTAATAATGTGACACAATAAGTTACTTTTTTTATTGAGTAACGCTATACTGTAATGCATTACTTTCCATAAAAAGCAACAATGTAACACAATAAGTTACTTTTTATCGAGTAACGCAATATTGTAATCTATTACTTTCCATTAAAAGTAACAATGTAACACAATAAGTTACTTTTTATCGAGTAACTCAATATTGTAAATCAATTACTTTTCATAAAAAGTAACAATGTAACACAATAAGTTAATTTTTTATTGAGTAACGCAATACTGTAATGAATTACTTTCCATAAATAGTAATAATGTGACACAATAAGTTACTTTTTTATTAATGCAATACTGTAATGCATTACTTTCCATAAAAAGTAACAATGTAACACAATAAGTTACTTTTTTATCGAGTAACGCAATATTGTAAATCAATTACTTTCCATAAAACGTAATAATGTAACACAATAAGTTATTTTTTATCGAGTAACGCAATACTGTAATGCATTACTTTCCATAAAAAGTAACAATGTAACATAATAAGTTACTTTTTTATCGAGTAACGCAATATTGTAAATCAGTTACTTTCCATAAAAAGTAACAATGTAACACAATAAGTTACTTTTTTTATTGAGTAACGCAATACTGTAATGCATTACTTTCCATAAAAAGCAACAATGTAACACAATAAGTTACTTTTTATCGAGTAACGCAATATTGTAATGCATTACTTCTAAAAGTAACTTTCCCCAACACTGCGTATCAGTATTTGAACAGTCAGATCTGGAGGTTGTTGTTTTGTTGTGTGTGTCAGGTGCGTTCCTGATTCCATACCTGATCGCGCTGGTCTTCGAGGGGCTGCCGCTGCTGTATCTGGAGCTGGCCATTGGTCAGAGTCTGAGGAAGGGCAGCATCGGTGTCTGGCACTCCATCTCTCCTCTGCTGGGTGGAGTCGGTGAGTGAAACACATTCATCTGCATGTTACTCACACACACTGACATCTTCAGAATGTTTCCAGACAGAACCATGAAACTACATCAGTTATGTTCCTAAACTAACTTCGATGTTGGCTTGACAACGCCTTGTTTGAAATAACTCTAAAAAGTTTCATGTTTAAAGATTTTACTTGAAGTCAATAAAATGTTATTTTATATGTTCTAGAACATTGTTAAAATATTTAAACAAGTTGCTATCATGATTTAACATGCATGTTAACATGTTTTAGCACATTGATAACAATTTAGTATGTTGTTAACATGTTTTAGCACATTGTTAACATGATTAACATGTTGCTGAAATGATTTGCATGTTATTAACATGATTAGCATGTTGTTAGTATTATGTTGTTAACATGATTAGCATGTTGTTAACATGTTGCTATCATGTTTTAGCACATTGCTAGCATAATTTAGTATGCTGTTAACATGTTTTAGCACACTGTTAAGACGATTAACATGTAGCCATGTTGCTAGCATGATTAGCATACTATGTAGCATACATAACACATTGTTAACATGATTAACATGTTGCTGGCATGATTTGCATGTTGTTAACATGATTAGAATATTGTTAGTTAACATGTTTTAATTTAATATGTTGGTAGTATGATTTAACATGATGTTAGTATGATTTAGCACATTGCTAACATGTTTTTATTTAATATGTTGATAGCATGTTGCTAACATGATTTAACACATTGCTAGCATGTTTTAACATGATTTAATATGTTGCAAGCATGATTTAGCATAGTCATTAAGCTTTGCTGGTGACAGACAGCTTAAACACTCTGTACAAAAGTTTTCACCCCCTCAGTGAAAGTCTATGGGACTTTCGTTTGTAGTTTTGATAGGTCCGGCTTTGCCAAGCCAACATCCTAACATCAGCGGGCTTGATTTTACAGCTGTGAAACATGCTGAATTTTCTCTGAACAGATAAACATGGCTTTTAATTCTCTGGTTGTTGCTTTCTGTGGAGTTCTGTGATTTTCCATGGTTGAATGTTTAATGTGTTGTCAGATTGTGTTCCTGCATATCAAGCCTTTATGAGCTCATAAAAGCATTATTGGTTATTACCGTATGATTGCACTTGTGTTGGCAGGCGTGGCGTCGATGATCATCTCGTTGCTGGTGGGTTTGTTTTATAACACCATCTTGGCCTGGGTTCTCTGGTATTTCTTCCACTCGTTTCAGGAGCCGCTGCCCTGGAGCCAATGCCCCATCAACGAGAACAACAATGGTACTGAGAGAAAAACACACCAGGAACACTGCAGAACAAATACAACATTTCAGTCGATTTGGACATTTCTTTCATCGCAATTAAGCTTGTTTGTTGTGAGGTGCCCATAAATGCAATATAATGAATATTAAGCGAAGGTTGAGGTTTAGACAGGAAGTAATGAAAATAAAAAATCAGAATACTGTAAATCATAAAAGTTAAAAGAGAGAGAGAGAGAGAGAGAGAGACAGAGACAAATAAATCCATTAAAAAGTAAATATAAATAAAATATACATTAAGTATATAAAGTAATTAGGTACCTAAATTAAGTAATTAATAACGTGTATATATATATATATAAAGTATATAAAATACATACATTAAGAATAAACCTATTATAATATATAACAATATTTACTGATATTTGTTTTTCCCAAGTATCTGAGGTGTTGTTATCTGGGCCCGTGTGTTGTAGGTTATGTGCAGGAGTGTGTCGCCAGCACACCGGTCAACTACTTCTGGTACAGACAGACACTGAACATCACGCCGGACATCGAGCAGAGCGGCTCGCTGCAGTGGTGGCTCGTCGTGTGTCTGGCCTCGGCCTGGAGCATCGTCTACATCTGCTTCATACGGGGCATCGAGACCATCGGCAAGGTGACACCAACAGTCACAAAAACAACAGCCTTTATTGAGCTTTATCACGGGTTATGCGGTTTATTGTGTTGATAGTTAACCCTGCATTTGAATGCATTCGAAATCTGATACAATTTTTTCATTCAAGAATCATTATTTTATAAAACAGTCATAACTTAATATTTTTCAAATAAACCCATACTGTATCTAATCAGCAACTTCTCATTATAAGTGAATGTGAAAAAATATCAAAAGTTTTGAATGTTACCGTGTTATTACTGCATTTGATCCTTTTTGATAAATTTTAGAAATTCTCTGAAATTTCAAATTACACATGAACCAGAGCAAAATATATATATTATATAATATATATACATACATATATATATATATATATATATGTAACAAATACATATATTTTTGTCAATATTGATGAGAAATCTTATTTGAATATATCATTGTATGAAATTTATAAGAACACAATCTGAGAATTATTAAACCCATTGGAGTGAATGGAGTTTAATTAAAGATCTATTGAATTTATAACACGATTGCTCAAAAACAAATTTATGAAACCTACATATTTATTTCTAACAAAACAAACATTATTACTTGCATAAAATGTTTCAAAGTGATCAGTTTTTCATGCTGCAATGGTTCATCAATAGAAGTAGATATTCATGTTCATCAAGAAAATTCAGTCCAAAAGTGTGTAAGATTTGGGGAAAAGACTCAATATGTTACAAAAGTTTTTTGGCGCTAATGTAACTTCATAGATTATTTTACAGAAGGTATTTTTGACACTAATGGTGCTCCATACAAACCCGGGTCAAAAATGACCCGAACACGAAACACATTATATCTCTGAAAAAAATAACTGTAAAAAAGTTGAAAAAAAATAAACGATGTGTGTTTTGATGCTCTCAAATTATCTGCAGAGTTTCATTCCCTTACTGAAAACCATGCATTGTTCAGTAGTGTTTCTCTGGACTGTGTTGCAGGCCGTGTATGTGACGGCCACGTTTCCATACCTGGTGTTGACCATCTTTCTGGTGAGGGCCCTTACTCTGCCCGGGGCCACAGACGGGCTTCGGTACCTCTTCACTCCAGACGTGAGTCTCTCTCACACACACTCACACATTGTGTTTCCATGTTTTATGGGGACATTCCATAGGCGTAATGGTTGTTATACTGTACAAACTGTATTTTCTATCCCCTACACCTAAACCTACCCCTCACAGAAAACTTTGTGCTTTTTTAGATTTTCCAAAAACTTCATTGTGTATGATTTATAAGCTTGTTTCCTCATGGGGATAAAAAAAATGTCCTCACAAGGTCAAAATTTACTGGTATTACTATCCTTGTGGGGACATTTGGTCCCCATAACATGATAAATACCAGGTACACACACACACACACTCTCTCTCTCTCTCTTTCTCTCTCTCTCTCTCACACACACAC